TATATACGTCCGTGGGCCTACAGCGTAATCTGACTCCCTTCGGGGAATTGCTCATCATCGTCGTTTTTCTGATTTGTTTTTATGCGAAGGACTTCATGTATTTCGAGAGGAAAAAGGACACTAACGAACGCCACCACTGAGATGTCAGTATCGAGAGACTGCTGGTCGAACCCCCCCCACAGCAGCAAAAGCCTAAAATCTCGTTACGTGTCACGTCACATGTCCAATTCCGCAGCTTTCGTGTGCATCGAAATGCCCATTGTATTAGTCACTCACCATGCATATATGAAGCATCAATAATTGGTTAGATTTTCGTCTCTTTATGTTGAAACAGATTAATGGGTAGAGTGTAATGGACAAGGCTTCGTTCGGTGGTAAAGCATATGCCTAAAGCGCCTCAAAAGGGTGAAGAAAAATCTTTCAAAGGGTATATAATAAACCAATCATGAAGATCCTATTCAAAAACTGAAAGAAAGAAACCCCAGTTGATCTTAACAAGTGCTTCACGGTGTTTGATATCATTAGCACCACGTTTTCAATCGCAATTACAGTTAGTCAGTGATAAATTAATCAACTGTGCACTGTGTATTGGAGGTTTATGTTTGTAAAGAATCTACCTAGTTGTTTAGGGATTCAAAACACATTCGTAATTCTTGTTCTTAAATGCCAAACTACCCGAGAATGATCGTCTGCAAGCACGCTATCTGCAAGGGAGGAGTGTTTAAATGGTTATCAGGTTTAATCCTACATTTTGAGAGATCGTTCTGAGAGAAAACGCATTTTTATAAACCTACTTCAAGATTAGATGAATAAATTCCGACTCCATGCACCAAAGCTGCGGCCACCTAGATTGCCCTCAGATTCGCTTTAATCGGTAGTTGACAAACAGTTTCATCTGTTTTGGAAAGACTTTTATGATCGTCGCTTCTGCCACAAATTACATAAACAGTGGTTAATAAGGTAGGCATAGTTTTGTTTGATAAATATTTACAGTAACACATGTATATAAATAAACTTTTATCAAAATTTTCACGAATGGCTCACAATAACAACATTGCGCTATAAACGTGTTTCCTCATGATATCTGAGTATGAATACGACACTGAAATCCATAAAGAACCTAAATAAAAGCAGTTGTATCCATGAACAGACCGACACTTAACATTTTAATACGACGAGCTTGGCTGTTGCATTGGTAATTTTGGTGGCATCGTGTGTACTGCGCAAGGGCCAATATTATGATTTAAATTGCCTGTTCTTCCCTACCTCTATAGTTTGAAAACCTTCCGAAGTGTTTGGAAGTGCTTTGTAATTTGTGAGACTGATTATGGAAAGAAACATTAAAACATTACTGTGGCTTCATATTTTGTTCCATTTGCCTATTGTCATTACCTGTGCTCTTATTCCGTAATTAATAGTTTAAGATCTTCGACTGAGAACATTTCTCTTCAAGGAAACGTGTTCATGGTGCATTATTAAAACTATGAACAAGCAACTTAAAAAGGTAGGGTAACTGGCCTGCAACACAATAAAAAACTAAAAAGCAGCAATTAGTGGCAAGTAAACATGTTACTTTTATCAATGAATGTCTTTCACTAAAACCACCAAAGGCGAGAAAAAATATACGTGTATATTATATGGAGATATAAAGATGACATTAAAGACAAATTATTTCCCATCATAATGAACAAGTTAAGGTCCTTGCGTTTAATATGCGTACAATGTACCCGGAGAGTTCGTAAACTTAACGGCATGAAGGTATGACGAACTAAATACAACACTTTCTTTCAACGTACAGCGCATTACATTCTGCACATATTCGAGAAATTCAACTTATGACAACAGATCGTTACGCCTCCGCTCAATATCGTTGTCTGAGGTAGAAGACGAAAATACCCTGCAAGCTGATTTCTCACGAGTCAGTGGGTTAAATGTGACATGTAATATTCCAGTGCATGACTTAAAGAGGCTTTGGATACTCAGGTATTAAAAAAGAAATCAAGTAACTTCCCAAGTTTGACAACTTTTGTTTTTCTTAAGCAGGTTGGCCAAGAGCACGTTATGAGACCGACGGCATTGTAAACAAAATTGCAATCTTCTCGCACTTGCTATGGACGTTTCTCCCATGAAGGATTTTTGTGTGAACAGGAACCTAAGTGCAAACGAATTATACCACGCTCGTGCAACAGCACCAGCGCTTTAAACTCTTTAACGAAACTGTGGGCACCCGCAGTACCATTGACTTTGTTGTGGTAGTGGTAGGCCACAGCATTGCCATCAAGAAAAGTTGGGAAAGGCCAGAAACCGTAGATGTCAATCCGGTCGCACAAGTCAATAATTGACGAGATAACATGAAGACCTGATAAGGTAAGAAAGCATACAAACAATGCTTATTGGTTTTGTGTTTTTCTCAAATGTTACCAGGACATCAAAACAAACTGATAGAGGCGGATTTCGAGATTTTTTTTATTTCCAAGCAACCAAATGTATTCAATAGCCCTGAAAATGGAAGTAAATAAAAAGGAAGGGTCAAGTTTGTGATTCACCATCTGCATGATGAACAGCGCCCCTCGTGTCATATCCTGTCAGCCCCCTAGTCCTGCTTTTCAACTCCCCGTGGCTGGGCAATATTTTGACCGACGTCAACCCCCCTTTCACGGTTCCCCGGACAAATTTAGTGAATGCAATTACTGCTTCCCATGCCAATTTACCTCGAGATGTTTCCCCAATTCATACCTTAGCATCGGAGTAACCATAAGGAATAAGATTTGAAAGCTCATGGCTTTTGATTCTGTACAGAGGTACATCAGATGTTTTACCTCCATATTTATCGAGGAACGTTTTGGAGAGGAAGTAAAAATCCAACATTTCCTCTCACCTGTAGATGTCCTGTATGTTCCATTCAACGTCTCCTGCCAGAGACTTGCCACGGTGCTGTAGTGCTCGGGGTGGCCATAAATTGGCTGTACGTGTTTAGACGTCTGTGCAAAATTGGCCGCTTTGACCAGGATTCGGTATTTCCATCTGAAGGCAAACAATGGCAGCCAGAGATGACTACCCTCAAACTGCTTCAGAATACCTGTAAACTTCGCCTGGTCGGCCCTTTTCGTCAGCGAATTTAATCTGTACCGTGAAAATTTACGACAGGAGTTTTTTTCATTTGTTACTTCTAGGAATTTAATTGGTAGTATTGAAAAAAGAGAATTTTTTGTCAGTCTGTCAGTCACATTCTTTTGCGGTTTGTCATCTGTAATCTCATGCCGCATTGCGAATAGGGTCTTTTATGGCTGCAACTTTGGTATGATTCACATGTAGACAACAATGCACTAGCCGTGAAACATCGGCTTTCCTGTGAATTGTCACCAGTGAAAAAACTCTCAGGCAATTAGTGTGCGCCCAATAACGAAGAAAAGAAAACCAAAACGACATTAATCAGTCGTTGGACGATACCTAGCTCTGACGGATTGTTTTAGCGAAGACCTTATCATTCAGGACCTCATAATTAACGAAGGGAAACATATCTATCGAGAAATGAGACCGAGGGGTACTCCCCCCCCCAAAAAAAAATGTCCAATCGCTATACGCACTCTAGACTATTGTTATCTAGGACATCCCCCCTTGATGTCTGAAAAAAAATTCCTTAGATACCAGTGAAACAATGACCAACACAAAGCGGGCGGGGGGTTTCTTTCCGTCTCATATCTTGCTTCATATAAAGAAGAATAGTTCCACGTCGACATCAAATAGGTTTAAAAGGGCAACTTTCCAACCCTGCAAAGATGCAAGACTGAAAGATCACAATACAGAACCTCGAGCAGTGAATGTTATTTGCCACCATGCAGACAAAGTGTTCTTACATCGGGACACCGTAGAAGACAGTTTCTGACACGAGGATCAACAACTTACTTTTCATATATGAATGAAGGGTTAAGAGTCGTGAAGTTTGTTTTACGTCCAACATCCTCTGTGTAGTTCTGAACGTCAGCTAAATTGAATCTACGGACCGAATTGAAAAAAGCAAAAGACATGTCTGAGTTGGACATACGACAGATTTTCTTACAGTATTGAGCTAAAGGGGTCATGGCTTATTGACTCAGGTAAGAACAAAGGTTCAGCAAAAACCCTGACAACAGTGCATTATGGGAACATTTCTAGATGAGATGCAAAAGTTAACAGTCTAATCTTAAATATACTCTTTCTCAAGAATGGCCAAAGAGTGGCTCCCATTTGAATGATAGGATCAGCACGCCTATTTAGTTTTGCTAAACAAATTGTCCTTTACAAGAATGAATGGTTTTTTGTTTAAACGATGACGACCTTGAAGTTCTGATAGTGTAAGCTCCAGTGTGATGGTGTGATCACTGAGAGCAATTCTTAGTCATCCACTCGATTCTCCATACAAATTCTCCATACAAAGTGTATCTTCATGACCTCACTCGTGGATACATATCACATGTATTTTTCTTTCTCCGTACCATGTTGTTGTAAACTACGGTTGCCCACAACTGTCACGGCAAAAGCAAAAGCGCCACGGCAAAAGCAAAAGCGCCACAGCAAAAGTGCCACGGCAAAAGCGAAAGCGCCACGGCAAAAGCAAAAGCGCCACAGCAAAAGTGCCACGGCAAAAGCAAAAGCGCCACGGCAAAAGCAAAAGCGCCACAGCAAAAGTGCCACGGCAAATGCAAAAGCGCCACGGCAAATGCAAAAGTGCCACGGCAAATGCAAAAGCGCCACGGCAAAAGCAAAAGCGCCACGGCAAATGCAAAAGCGCCACGGCAAAAGCAAAAGTGTCACGGCAAAAGCAAAAGTGTCACGGCAAAAGCAAAACACACAGGCTTGGTTCCTGTGGGCATGGATGTCGATCCTGGCCTCTATGCTCGGATACGCTCATGTAAATATGCATGTTTCACCACCAGTGTAAAACTGACATCGACCAAAACTTCTTTCCAGGCTGGTCGCAAAAACCTATAAACCTACTTAAAATACATCAGCGAATAGACCCCGCGTCCATGAAGCAGTACGAAAAGAGTGTGGAGTGGCCCTACTGATGCTGATGACAAATCTCATCCCCTCCCTTTTATAAATTTCGAATGCACGGCAGCAATCTTCTTGGAATAATGACCCCCCGTTTAGCGAAAGGATAATATCGTCCGATTTATCCTTGAATTTGTTTGCACAGACCGGCCTCCCTTGCTACTTTCTTGGCCATAGAAACATTTCTTTCAAGAAAACAATCCTGAAAAAAACAACACCGAAATTCATGGCGGTGGCCTAACTCTGCTCCACCAAACTTCACACTTAGAGGTGACATGTATGATTAAAAGTCCCTTCCCTTTACACTTTTGGTTTGGAGCTTTTGCTCTTGCCTTGGCGCTTTTGCTTCTGCCGTGGTGCTTTTGCTTCTGCCTTGGTGCGTTTGTTTTTGCGGTGGCGCTTTTGCTTTTGCCGTGACAGTTGTGGGCCAACGAACTAAGCATCTGATAAATCAGCTGAATAATAGCTAATTCATAGCATCACCACACAGATATCTCAAGAGATAAGATTTACCTGAAAATAAAGTCTCCTTTGTCTATGGTGCCTCCGCATCCAGAACCATTAAGAATACCACTGGAACCAACTACACTACACCTTTTGAATAGCCCTGGTCTGTACAACGTGTCCTGTGCACAAATAACCCCACATAAAACATTAACTAGTTTCACTGCAGAGAATAAAGTTGATCTGCAAACAAATCTATCGTATGGATTTTCCAACATGTCCAACCGTGTGTTATATCTGACCACTTTCTACGATTCAGGAACGAAAAAATCACGTGACGTTTGTTTTGCTATTTATACTTCTTAAGTTGAAAGGTCGATTGTGGTGTCCAAGAAAGAAATCTCATCAAAAGAGTAACACGATTTGGATAAAAACACAAGTTGGCTATTCAATTTTGCTTGTTGCTGAATGCACTGAATGAGTAGTACAATGCGAAAGGGCACATTTCTTCTGTTACAGACTTTGTTGCCATTTTGTGCTTTTCGACTGTCGTAAAAGAAACGAAAAGTGCGGCGAATAGGAGCAGATCACTGGCTAAAGTCTGCTTCCACAACTCTGTTTACACTGTGACACAATTTATGAGGTTATGTTGCGTCGGGCACGAACATCACCGTTTTCGCGGCTTACACAACAAGTGTGCTCACTTACACTGGCTAGAGATTGCCAAAACGGCTTACTGATCTTCATGGAACCGCCATTACTCAGAAAGCTGACACGCTGTCCGACCTTCGTGTTTTGTTTGGTCAGAATGAACTTATCCAGCTTGCCCTTGTTCCCCAAAGCGGCCTGTAGATCTTTCCTATTGAAAAAAAAATGGCGCCATGAGTGAAGAGTACAAGAAAAGTTGATGAGAACACTAAGGATTGGAAACTTTGACTCGGGCGCTCGTACTTTGTTCAATCATTTAAACCGCATGTTTCTGCCAAGACAAAGGCCAAGGGCTAATGGGGGTCGTGATGTATTATCATGTGGAGCTGGAGACTTAATTTACTCAGATGATAGAAGGTGAAGAGATATATAAGCCTCTAGCTGGTGCCGATGGGAAATCAAAGTTTTTAGAGAAAACGCGAGGTTTCAGTCCCGTTAACGTTTTCTAAGAAGGGCAGGATGGGGCCATCCTCCATTAAAAGAAGGGGAAAAAAGAAAGGTTCCATAAAAAAGGCACAAATTAAGTTTTAACTTATTTTATATACTTCCTTGCATGAGCGTGTAAAAAGCAACAATTTGTGGCCGCACCCCTCCCCCAGACGAAAGGCAATTACAGGTTACATGGAAAACAATTCCAAGTTTTTTGCCTAACCCCCCGAAAACAAGTCGCCCTGAAAGTTTGGTTCTGGGTCCGTCCTTGTTCGTACCTATCAGTACTCGCCAGTTTAATAAAAGTAATACCAATGCAGTTGGCATGTATTCTCATAATTCACACTTTAAAAAGAAATGGCAGAATCCGTTATCATGCCAACGATTACCACACTGACCTCACCTAAATTCCTCTGTGTGGTTTTGGTTGTACTCCCAACTTCGATTCATGATGTTACGCAAGAAGATAAAGAACTCCGTGTTGTTTTCGGGGTAGTGGATGGCGTATTTCTTTGAAAAGACACTGTAAGACACAGTCACAAGTTCGATTTTTTCAGTCTTTGTTTCAAAACGTTAATAAATGGTATAAAGGAATATACATCTGAAATATATGAGTGTAAAATGATAAATGGCAGCCGAATATCTCTTCATGACAGGGGTATATTAAAAAGTTTGCAGAGTCAATAGATTGGAAGATTGCGATGGGTGGGTGTTTTGCTTATGCGTGTTCTGTCAGGGTAGAACAACCAGCAAAATCAGTGGGTGGAAATACATTATAAATAGATAAACAGCAATGAAAGTGTTATATTCTGTTTAACTCAAGTATTTCCTACGGACCATTCCTTAATTAATATTTTTACATTTCAATTTCTTTTTAATTTTGGTGAACAAAGGACAATACGGGCGATTCACGACAGTGCGCCTCCAAGAGTTTGCAACGCGTTGATCAATCACAACGCACGGAATCAGTCTACCCTGGGTGTACAGATTTCGGTCATCGTGATTTGCTAACGCTATGTAAACTCTTGGAGGCGCACTATTGTGAATAGTCTATATCTATTTGCGGCTGGGAATACAAAGTCCACGCTTTTCGCTTAGGCAGGACCATGCACTTCCGGTGTCTTGCAAGTAATATAGGAGTCTTGGCCAGTGGCCATATAATGGGGGAGCTCTTTTGGAACATGCACTGGTCCCTGCATCTGATCACTATCAATCATCGCATACTAGGAAGGCCCTCAATCATGCTGGCAGCTTTGTGTCAACAACAAATTGCTTTGGATTATCTCCTCCCCAAAGAACATTATTTGCCTCATTGGTGTAGGCCTACACAATTTTTTATGGGCCTGTACACGGATCTCTAACCCGATCGGTGATCCCAAAGTTGGTTCGCCGTCTTCAGTGAGCGGGTTGTAGTGTCAGTGAATCAACGTCCGATCCCTTGTCACGATCCAGATCCGCATAACACACTGGCCCATTTTATTTGCTCGTTGAAGAATGCAGGGATACTTGAAGCCCGCTGTATTGCCTTTCCCTTTTCTGCATGCTAACTACAACAACGGAGTGCAAAAGGACGACGCGTGGAAAGAAGTCCGGCCACCGTGATTATTATAACTAATGAGCCGTGCGCAAGGTGCAGAGGGAGACAGCTACAAGACCCATCACACTGTGTGGGTGTGGAAGATATTTTTTATTCACCGCTCGCATTTTTATACTCCTTTTTTCCCCAGCGTTTTCCTAAACACGTTGCCAAAAAGGCAACACTGAGGACTGTGACGAGATTAAATATGCATGGCCGGTTTTTCGAACTAGCATAAAGTGGTAAGCATTTTATAGAAGAAGTTGTTGCGCATCGAGCACTTGCACGGTGCACATGTTCGGTTATCACTCTACAGTCTGCAACTATTTCGTGAGAAATACATGTACTTCAGTAGGCATTTCTCATCAAGAAAAGAAAAAGACATTAAGGAAATAGGCAAAGTTAACATAGTATTGTATAATAACTGATGCTCAAACCAAACATTAATATGTGATTTTTATATATTTGGTTTTTAACTTGTTGATTTTTACATAAGCAGAGTGCTTATATATTTTATTTCAGTCAGACTTACATGTCAGCTTGTCACGGCTTAAATCATGCACATTTTTATGCAGTGTTGCTAGAAACCGTTTTTATTGGATTTTACTTTGTTTTCATTCATATGATGTATTGCAATATGAAGACTGGGTGTGACATGATATGATTCTCAGGTTATATAGGCCTAACAATCGGCACTGCAGCACTTGATAGCAAGGCATTATTATGAATTTCCTTCTTTTTAAATTCAGATTGGCAATCTCAGCACTGGCAGGTACCCGGTACACTCCAGCATAACATTTTCTGTATGTATTCTGTTTTACCCTAAGGCATTAAAAATCGATGTTACATGGTGAACGTACATACAAAACCTATAGTGGTGAAACTCATACGGGAGAATAATTGCAAAACAAAATAGTTTATTTTCCGAACGATGGCGTCGTATGCAACCTCTTTTCTGCTGATTGTAAACCTGTTCCTGTCAATCGGTTGTCTATGATAATAAATGTGCATCATTGCACAACCCCATTTCGGAGGCTGATTATGCACTGCTTGTGCCTGCTGAAAGACGAAAGTCGCCTTCAGAAAATAGAAACCGTTATCGCGATGTGGCCGCCCTAACTGGGCGTGATTACAAAGCTTAGGAGTTTGCCTTTGCCCACATAGCTTTCGGTAATAACCTACCTCAATAACAACAAACCTGGCAGCACAGAGCCCGTGGATAGCCTTTAAAAATAAACTTCTGTCCCGCTAGCCTCGATACTTTGATCGTGGACTGCACAAGGTTTTTCTTGCAAGTTGCACGGAAAAAAGTAGAAAATATTTGAAAGTCGTGTGTGAAGAGAGAATGATGGTGAAATTTTAACGGCAATGGAAGCGATGATACCGATAGACAGCAATGGCAACAGTTCTCGACTGCACTCAGTACAGGAAAGGGTGCCCTAACGATCTTGAGTTCAAATGCAACAGTGAAATAGGGGCTTAAGACACTCACAGGAGATTGGAAAAGAAATTTTAATTGGAGAGAACCGTGAGAGTGACTGATTGCAACAAATCTCCTCATACCTGTTAAAGCTTGGAGAAACTTTTGTTTGTTGTATTACATTCACACTGCTCTTATTAAGATGTAAATCTGCACCACTTTGGAAGGATCTGGTGTCGAATTTAGAAGAAGAAAAAAAAAAAAAAACAAGATGAGTACGGTAACCTCACGTACGGCGAATAAGTGTCAATAATCCCGTGAACACTGTATCGAGGATGGGATATAATTGTTACCATCTGAAAACTTACAACTGAACATGCACAGGCAGTAAACGCGACTCTGCTTTATAACTCTGATATGCCATTGTGAAAAAAGATACAAAGCGACTGAAAACGACCTCTCAGTTGTCATGATGACGTCATTGATAACACTCATCAGCATCATGAACTTTTAGGGTGTCATTTAAAGCTACATTTTGCGAATGAGCCTAAAGACATTAAAAATAAAAACAATAAAAAGAATTTCTTTTGGACGGTGCCGTTTACATTTTTTCAACCGTTAACCCCCCATTAGGAAACATTGCAATCACAAAAAATCTTGGCGCACTGGTGTCATTACGATTTGATATAAATATGCCTGTTTGGTTCAATACTATGCGCTTTGAAATTTAATTGGAAACCCTTTCCACACTGAAGACGTGAGTGCAACTTCTTACCTTGAACTGCTGTTACTCGTTGATTCCTTCACTTGCGAATTGAATGAAATTTTCTCCTGTTCAACCTGTGTAGTGTACACTGTAGGTCTGAGTACAGCTATAATTGCGATCATGGGTAAAACACAGACAAGAAAAACGGCCCGGTACAGCAACGTTCGTTTGCACCGCAACACAACCCACCGAGATATATTACCGCAGGTTACAAATTTTGTGCTGGATGCAGAGACGTGTCGATTGCGTTCGGAATGTCTTCGCTGCCCGTAGGCCCTGGCGGGGTAGGGTCGGAACGACGAGGACTTATCAGCCATGCTATGAGTCTTACTGGAGTGAATCAGTGAACCAGGAACTACATAGTGGTGGCTGCCACCTGTCAACGCGCATTTTGAACTTTGTGGCGTGGACTATAGACTCCGATTACGAACGGAAAACACTGCAGATCAGGATACCGTCACTACCGTACTTATGACCACATACAACGACGTAACAACGGACAGTCAACTAGTGATCATTGTATTGTGCACACCTAACACTACACATGATGCTGTGACATAGCAGACAATCCTCGGTTATTGACTGAAGTATCCAAGGAGTGCATTCAAGCGTAACGTTGGACTTCCACAGACAATTGCAGGAAGGGCTGAGTATTCCGCTGAATCGATCGTTCGGAGAAACCAATTCATACCGTGCGTACTGTTCACATTATGCAATTCTCACTGCCGTGTACATGTGCTCCGAGTCCGATTTAGTTTAATGGTGTCGATAAGAATCAGTTTATGATATGTCAAGGATCGATACTCGCTTCAAATGACGATGCTGCGTAAAATGGCTAGCGTCACATGACACTTTTGGTGTTATTGTGTGTATCTTTACAAACGTCCATTGCAAATATATGTGGTATATTTCTTCAGGAAAACCCCTACAAGAAATATTTTCAACAGTTTATGTTACACTCAATGTTGGCAACGCGCGGTGCAGGATTTCAATGTGAGACTACGACATGCACAAGTACATGTATCGAACACTGCTTACGGCTCTTCGCCACTGCCTCTTTTCATCAAAATTCAAAGCCGTAGCTACAGGAGACAGGACCCGATTATGGCTATCACTGTCATGCACCGCCCCATACAATCCCATGTATTAACTAAATTGACACAGCGGTAGTACGGTTAGTTTCGTTACAGTTTTTCAGCTCCTCAGCATGTTGGGAGCTGCTCTATTACCATATAGCTTGCCTAATAATTCTGAATAAGGTACCACAGATGCATGGTACCCAGACCTGCAACACCTCAATAGGCAAACAAAATAGGCTTTTTATGTAAGATGTGGCAGGAGTTTTATTTTTGGTCAGTTACGTTACAAATAAATGGACATGAAAAAAACTGCACATCTGCTTATCAAAAGTTTGCTTATTTGGAAAAACAGCTAAACCAAAATTTATTTGTTTTGTCACTTCCTGCTAAATAGTAATTATTTTGAAGCAAACTGTTGGCAGACTGTCATTTCCAATTTCCAGTTTTTCCAAAAAACCATGGTTGGTTACGTTACGGTTAGTTACGTTACAGTTTGTCCAAACCACTGAATTGCCACCGTGTCACATTTTACTCAAATTTTTAACATTAACATTGTTTGTTTTTGCTTTCAACACAGCAAGAACAATGAAAGATGCAATTTAGAAACTTGAAATAGTCTGTAAGGACAACACGGAGGATACGACAGAAGAGATATCAAAGCAGGCATGTACATCCAGAAGAAACGTTCTGTGCATCATAAGTAAACATAGGCCTAGGCCTACTCTGTACAGTACACGTGTGCAGTACATGTTCATCAGCATTTATACAACAGTAAATTAAGTGTGATCGACTTTGATGTCAGGTGACTTATATTACATTGCAAACAACGAATTAACAATCTAATAATAACTTCTTCATTTTTAAAAATAAATCAAAAGGAAACGGCTCAAAACTCACTCGTGCATACTGTGGAGTTGCGTACATTATGTATAATATTAACAGACCATACTGGCACGCACGTTTACAGATGACTTTCCTTAAATTTCAACTGAAAAGGTGAAGTGTCCCCTATTAGGCCTATTTATAACCTATGGTGCACACAACCTGGAAACTTTTTTGTCCTTCATGTAGAAGATACAGTCCTTGGGAGATGTCCGTTTCCAGTATTTTCCAGCACGTTCCATCACAAGAATCCTGGTACTATCCACTTCCTACAGCAACTACTTCACCTGGAAATCGGTTGCCTTCGCACTCGACTATATACCAACCCTCTTTCTTTTCTTTGTTAAGCGTTGAATCTAGGTAGATCCTTTTGGGCTATTCTTACGCAATCCCACAATTTCTTAGGCCACACGATCTATTCTCTTTCAAATAAACTGTAGGGGTACTTTTTGAGTGCCTTGGCCTGGCAGAGAATTTCCCTTGAATTGGGCAGTGCACCCTCGGAGGCTGTCCTCATGGGAGTGTGCACCAATGCGCACCGCAGTTCCTCATTCATAATTAGGAACGTCTTGGGTTCCGTTTCATGATTTTATTACAACGATGTCATTACTAGTGTGAGGACCAACTTCTGAACCTTGAAGGCTCCTGGCTAACGCTTAGTCATTCTTTACGCTCCTTAACCTCTTCAGCATGAAACCAGTCTTCAACAAATTTGTTTCCCCACGTTTTGACTCGTAAACATCATACAAATTTTGTATCAATCCCAGTGAAATAGGCCTATACAACTTGTTAATGACATAGTTACTTTATACAAATTATTCATTTGTACATTTACATTAAAGAAATTATACAAAGCACATTCCTTGATAAACTGTTCCAACAGTTTACTTAACATTTTGAATGAATTTTGTGTATTTAGTGTGAAGGGAGTATCCTTCTTAAAGCAGTTAAATTCCCTCGGCTCCAGAGGGAATGAGACTGTGAAGAGTTAATCGATTGTAGCTTGAGGCCTCACTAAAACAACTGTGCCCAAGTTTTTAAATGAGAATTGTGTGATTTTATGCTATTTTAAAATTGATGGCTGCAGATGTTTAATTCCGCCAGCAGTTTGCTGTCGTTTTGATATTAGGCAGTGGGTATTTAGCCAATGGCGGAAACTTTATCTAAACGATATTTTGCAGGGCATATACGGAGAATTTTTGTTTGGATTTGGGCTGCATCTGAATCTGTTGTCTAGAGCTAGGTCTTAGGTCTTTACTCCATTCGAGTCGAACAGACAATAGACCTAGCCGTAGCTCTGGAAGCCTGTCTGGGACCTGGCCTTGGAAATTCTTACTGTGACAAGTTATAGTCTGGTTTTTCGCCCAAATAGATGTTGTAACTTTATTTTTACGAGGTGGGATTCAGACACCGTTTATTTAAATTTGACGGCGGCGGTTCTATATCCACTCTTTATTACTTTTGCAATAATCGCGCGTTTTGTACAGTCAGTAAATAATTTTGGATTTTCAGTTCATAAAAATCTATTTTCTGACTTGTGCCCCTTGGGTCCTTTCATTCTAGATACACGGCTGTTTCCAGTATTCTCTTCACTCCATCTAGCAATATTTTGTTGCTCGATTACAAAACAATAATTCACAAAGAGCTTTTTACAAAAGCAAACCTCTTCGGCTGATTTTCATATTACGACCAAATACTGAAGGTAAATGTCAACCTTATACATATCAGGAAATAATTGCGCATACCTCTGAATAACAAAGAACTTCCTGCAAGTCCTTGCCGCCCTGGCAAATGGTGGTCAATATTTGTAATTTGAAGAAGGCTGAACTATATAAACGGAAAGCTTGGGTGAACAAGGGAGAACAGAGAGAAACTAAAATACCACAAAGCTAGTGACATTAATGACGGCTCACTGTTGTCGTTCGGGTTCAGAACTGGTTCTGGCTCCCCAAAATGGTCTGACGGGACTGGTACTGTTTACACATGCCTTAAATTGGCGTTATGCGTTATATCTGGCACATTTGCCATTGAAATAGTTAAAATCACCACTCATACCAACGGGGGAGGACTATTAAAGTTATGATAATAGTGTATCTCAGAGTCACCGTAGTCCAGCCAACACAGCTAGTTGACCACTTGCCGTGTCAACAAGGTTTCAAAAGAAACCGTCTCGGGTAATTGGCTGCCTTGACCTGCCTATGTGTCCGGCCGCTCGTCGATCGTGCCCGGCCGTGGTTGTAAACGTTTCTGCAGACACAGGGCCCATTTGGTTCAAGACTGCAGCGACTCGAACGAACGGAAGCTGCTGCGAATCCTAAAAATGGAGGGGAGCTGGGTCCTCGTGCTAACGGTTTTCGCCACATTTTTCATCGAGATGGGAACAGTGAAATCCTTCGGAGTGCTGTTCAACCCCATGCAGGAATCTCTGCTGAGTTCCACCGCACAGCTCGGAACAGTTCTCGGCATGACCCATAGTTTGGGTCTTCTTTTGGGTAAGGCCTAATTAAGCTCTTTCTTTGAATCACAGGTATTCATCAAATAAAAGCCACTAATGCGTACAACCCGCCCTACAAGCATACCATAATTAGGCCTACATGCACTAATCCTATATAGAACCCACTCAGATAAAAGCCACGTCGACGATATGACCAGTGGCAAACCCTTTAATCCAGTGGCAAACCCTTTAATCCAGTGGCAAACCCTTTAATCCAGTGGCAAACCCTTTAATCCAATTAAGTCTCATTCTCCCTCACCAAACGCCCCAGAACCAGACAATTAAAGAAAGTACTTTGGAATGTGCCCTCATTGGATATAGTCCCGGCCGTAGGCCTATTTGTCATCTTTACAGTCAAGTTAATTATTGTTCTTTCGTATTTCAACGATTTTTAAAGCTGCTCGCTCCCACGTTTCTGTTTCATACGGTAGAGTAGTCAAATTCGTTTACAGGCGTAGAATAGTGTACTGTAACAAATTCAATTTGGAACTAATTTCATTCAATCGAACAATAGGCCTACATGACCGTCATTCAATTTCGCGCTGGATGGTTTGAATGACGCCTCCGAATTTTACTTTCCTTTTCGTCTACGGGCAAATCATGTTCGCATTTTGAGCCTTCAAATTGGAATACTTCACGTTAAGAGGAATATACCGCACGGCAAATTAAGATGCGTATAGAATAGAAAGGGAAATTACTAATAGAAAATACACTAGAAGTGTGTCCCAGGTATTAATTTGAATAGATATTTCTTAAATATATCAAACAAATTACACATCAAGAATACAATACATTTGCTCCATTAGTCCATATGTAAAAATGAAATTCTCCCTGGACCTCCATCACGTATGCTGAAAGAAAAATCCTCTATATGCAGTTTACTGGTTTGTAATTTCTTTATTTTTTACACAAGAAACACACTCTCCGTAAATGTGCATGTAGGCCTATGCTAAGATTTTTTGGGATTCTCTTCAATACTAATTGCTCATTTTTTTCACAGTTTTAAAATAATGCTTTTGCGTGCATGTTTCATTCCATTTTTCATCCTTTTTAGACATTTCGCCACTTTGTCCATTTGTGTTACATAAATAATTTTACTTCACATTTTTATAGAGATATCTACACTTGAACTAAACGTTTCCTTCTCAAAATATTTTGCATGAATTAGTCTAGAGGAATACAAACGAATTAGAACATTTAAAGTTTGATGAATAAACCGCACGAATCTCACAAATGCTTGCCAATTCACGAAAATGATCGCTAATACACATACCGCGGGAGTGTCGAAGTTGAATGCTTTTTGCGTGTTTTTCCAAATTGAATACGGACCCTTAACGTTTTGAAGAACAAGATATTGCAACCGCAGGCTCTTAGAATGAAACTGAATAATCAGTTTTGCTCTTTGAATGGTGTTCTAGATCGTCGATCTATTTCGTGCTAATTTCAAAGAACCTGTTGCTAATTCGTGTGCGAAGATGATGAATTTGGCCGGGAAAACGTATATTAAGAAAAAATCCAATCTCGCAGACTAAATATCAACCATATTAATTGTTCATTCGTATTAGGAACTCACGTATCATGGATAGATTCCGCACCATAAACCGTCATTTCGTGTAAACGGTCTTAGAGTGGTAACCCCCAATTCGTGATGCATGAAAACTGTTGTGTAATTCGTTTAGTGCAACTGAAGAATTATTAGAGAACCTGTTTCATAAAGTACACCTAAGTGAAGGAAAAATACTATCCAGGATAACTTAACTTTGTAAGCTCCGTTCTCTTGTGTAGCTCCACTGACCGGGAACATTGCGAGGACATTCGATCATCGGCTGTGTGTGATTACCGGGGGAGGATTGTTGTTCGTCGGGTGTTTCGTCAGTGCATTCGTTCATAACGTGTATCAGTTAGCCATCACTCTTACGATAACAGGTGTGTGGCTCGAGTGAAGAAATGAGAAATGAAAAGGTTAATATCTAAGGGGAAAGAAATTTGGTGCCCGCCCCACTTTTAAGGGTGGACTAAAAACATTCAGGGGGATTCGGATTTTTTTATGAGCTTTTATGGCCTTCCATTGGTAGCTTTTCGCACGCTTTTTAAAGGAAATGGAACTGAAATAGTTTACCCAAATCGTCATTTTGCTTCCCGTACGACCACAACACACACTGAGTCTGGAACTCCTTCAATAATTAGTGGACATAAAATAGTTAACCCCCTATAGTGGCGTTCTCGTTTGTAGATCTTGGCCGGGGTTTGGTACTGTTTTTAACCCTCATCTGCTGCGGTATTGTGCGACTTTCATTTGTATTAGCTGAAATATTTATATTATGAAATATGTCCAAATTCACATGTTTTTTTTCTCACTGAAAACTATGCGTACTTTCAACCAGCTGTTAACTTTCGGTTTATTTTCAGTGGTAACTATCCACTTTAATGTTTATTACTTACACTTGTTTTATTTTGTTTTCAGATTTTTTGCAATGATTACTAAATGAAGCATTGATGTGATTGACGGCATCAAAGTGCTAAAATTACTGAAAACATATATGCATGGTGGGATATCGACCACAATTTGAAGATCAAGTTCTTTAGTTTGTCAATTATAGGTTTCCAGAGTGTTTAAAAGTTGACGAAAACAAGTCAATTCGATTCATTCATCAAAGGTCTGTCCGGTATCCACCTCTGCATACCTGCCATTATTCACACGTTGTATATGCTGTCTTAAAGCAAATATTCAAATTCTTGTTCAATATTGGTTGGACAAGCACGTCTACTTGGTTTTCTTCACAAAACTGACGTCCCAAACCACTGCATATCCCTAATGAATCCAGTGTTTTGTGAACCTACTCAACATGCGCTACTTCTTCCCCTCTCCCTCAGGTATTGGCTTGAGTTTGGCCTACATCCCACAGGTTTTGCTGTTATTAAAGGCCTTTCCGACGCGTTTCTCTCTAATCTTCGGAATCGCCGGAGCGGGTGGTTCGTTTGGTATGATGGTGTGCCCACCAATCGTCGAAATTCTCACAAACACGTACGGCTGGCGTGGCGCCATGATGATCAGCGCCGCCATGGTTTCTCATGTCTTTGCGTTTGGTGCTCTACAGCGATTACCAAAGACAGAATATGCAAAACTGAAAGTAACCAGCACGGCAGAAAGCTCAGCTGAGAAACGCAAAGGAGCCAGCTCTTGTCTTCGTGGTTTAGTCTCCTCTATAATCCGACGACTCTCTTTACAACTTTGCATTGCAAATCCAAGGGTGCTGCTCCATTTAACGACGTGGCTGCTCTTGGGAGCAAATTTTCACGCTTGGGTGGTGTTCCTCGTTCCTCATGCCACAACAAGAGGCATAGGGAGTACCGAAGCTGCATTTTTGTCTACAGTTGGAGGCATTGGCCATTTTATTGGTCGAGTTATCCACCCCTTCATTCTCGATTACAAAATCACGACAGCGTTTGGAATGTTTCTGACATTGAGCGTCCTTAACACCCTCTCCTTTTTTGTCGACCGTGTAGTCGGCGATAACTGCACGGTAAGTGACTCGGTATATAGGCACACTATTGCATGTACGGTATTTTGTAACGCCTTGTGTTTGATTGGTTTTGCCTAAAGAGTTTAAATGTAATACTTAAGTGTGTCCTTGATAGCTAGCACGAATCCAGACTTGCTTCTTCCACAAAACGAAGCAAGCACGCCCTACTATACTTGACTGTGCACAACATTAATTCCAATTACATGTACATGTATAAATGAAGTGAACAGCGACAACAGGTTGTCTAAATTTCCCATGGTATATGTAAGCACGACGTCGACGTTGTGTTTGTTCGGCTGCACTCGTTCTGACAGCAATGTTTGAAAGAGGGACGTAATAATATTTCGGGCTCACCGTGTCGTTGGTAATGCATAGAACTGGGCATTTTTCCCTTGAATGAACACATTTTAAGACTGTATATTTTGCTTTTAATGCCAAAAGAGCCTGCCTTTTCGGACCATCTCATAGCCGGGGGACTACTCAAAAGATTAATTTTTAAATTTAGTATACATGCACAAATCTCTTTACCAGTGCAAATTGCCACGTTTTTACGGATTTGTGGTCATGTCAAAAAGGACGTTACTTCACTATGTCGCCTTAACATACTTTAACATACTTTCGCCAGTAAAGAATAATTTCTAAATTTCATTGCAACAAAATGATGTCAGGGGCAGGTATCTCAGTATGCATTTTGCGTTTTTAAGAACTGATGCAAACACGCCCGCCCAACAACGTACATATACGTGTACAGAACGTTTTTCTTGGAATTGGGTATAGGTCAGTTTAGATTATTGCTTTCACAAAGGAACGGCAATCTTTGTTACATTCTCAATCGCGATCACGTTAACATGCGCAACCCAAATGGAAAAACACATTGAATAAAGGGACACACATTTTTTCTAACTTATTTCAGCTACGTAATGAGCACCTCCAGGGAAAATATGTTTTCTCTGATTTTATCTGTTCACTTAAATGTGGAAGCATCAAATCGAACGCAGTGTCACTTGTCTTCAGAGCTCAACTATAACAAGCTGAAAAAGGTTTTCTTTCTATTCATGCCAATATGCAAATTTGGGATGTAGATTGAGCCATTCGGAGAAAACAGAGAAAACGAAGGGAACTGCCCTGTGTTCATAGTGGATAAGCCCTTGTGTATGCCTAACAATGCACGTAGCCTTTGTTGCAGTATAGCTTGTTATAGTTGAGCTCTGAAGACAAAGTGTTGCAAAGTAATATGAGAAACTTTTCTTGCAGTTATTTCAAAAACTTTCTTTTTCAAAATCCATGCCGGTTCCTTCCTGAAAACGGTGCCAAAATGTGGAGATTCCACTTAATTTGACGTGTTGCTTTACTGTAACGGTCATTTGAAGGTCAAGGCTACATGTACTTGTTGTTCTGTAGACGACAAATAATGTGCATTGTACGTGGAAAGGAAGGAAAAACTAAGTAAATGAGACAAAACGGACACCCGCAATGCCATACATTTCCCTTGCCTTCTGACGGGACATTTGCCTCACAAAACTGCGACCGCGACCTTACATAATGAGGGTAAAGGTCTTAGGCAATGCATGTGTCTTCTATAATATACGTGTACCTGATATCCTTCAGAAGAACGGTGTTTTGCTGTAAAGCCTAGTTTTTTTAATTTCTTAAATTTCTTTTTATTACGCATTGTCATCATATGAGCATGCTTTTACTCTTGTATTATCCATAAAGAAAAAAAGCAGACTCAAAACTTCCCATTGATATATACCATGCAGGCTCTCATGTTCTTGGCCTTCGTCAATGGAGGTGCCATAGGAACCATCAATTTGATCATTATATCAGTGTCAAAAGAAATCTACGAGGAACGTTACCACGTGGACATATTCGTCTTGGGCAACTGCTTGTTCGGCGCTGGAGAGATCTTAGGCGGTTATTTGGCAGGTGAGACCCCCATCAAGGGTTGAGACGCCCTGCGTGGACCCGCACGAAAAACTCAATTTATCTTTTTTCAGGTATTTTGCTTGAACATCCAGTTAACTTTTAGTCTTTCTGTAAAACCTTAAAGAGGGAACCTCCATAAGCTATAGGGCGGTGTGAAACATTTGCCCTGCACTGGATTCAAGTTAAAGAGAAAGCAAATAATTTTTTTTTACGGAGGCTGCAGCTGGTTTCAGTAGACGATGATTTTGAGGTCAGACCGTTGTGTTAGCCGTTAGTCGATTTCCCTTGATAACCAGTTCACAAAATGTATCTCTTGAACTTAATGCAAAATCGACCAGAAGTTAACAAATCGTCGTTGCTCGAATCCTTAAAGCTTCCCTTGTTATTCACTATAAACTTCACTGCACCACTCCACAAACGTCCCAGAATAACAGTTTCAGTACCAGCACAATATAAGCCTTTTGCGAATTAACTTTGACCCAAATCTGGTACACTAAGTTCTGAAAGTTTAAATTCACGTTAACATAACAACTTGAGTTCTCCTTACTAAAACCACAGTTGCTATACCTCGTGATTCGGGGCAAGCTTTTGAGATGATAAGATACGCCTTGCAACAATACACTGTTCTCAATGGATAAGAAAGGCATAAAGGAATCAGTCCATTCCAAAGATAGTGGTCGCTATGCGAAAGGTTTCACGCATCACGATGTATAGCAAAAGTGTCTTTAGTCTGGGGAATTCACATTTTTATGTTTATGTGCAGTCAGATAACTCAGTGCACCAGATCTTATTCAATTTAATTCGCAAATGGCTTATTATAAGTGATGTAGCGTTTGTCTTAGTCTTGTAGACCCGACCTGAAAACCTCCTTTGTTGGTATTTTTGATTTATTTCAGGGGGTATGTATGATTTGACGAGGAGCTACAGTGCTTCTTTCCTCTCACTGGGAGTTATGAGTGCCTTAACTCTGGTGATGACAATTGCTGACAGATTGGCATCACAATGTTCCTCAGAGCACGATTAAAAGGGAAGAGTGCCGAAAAGAAGGATCCCAATACGACGCTTTTAGCGTCGATCTGCGCACTTCCGCGTTTGAAAACGAGGCTGTATGTGTCATTTTCAATTCTTAACACGATCAGACGATTTAAAGTAAGGAGTTAAGACACAAAATACACAAAGGTGTGTTAATTTCAGACATTTCAGGCTGCAAATGTTTTGTGGAAGAATCTTTCAGGATGACTCGACATGTTAAATAAAAAAAAACGACAATTGACCGCGAACTAACGTACCTGCGATGGTCGTGTATCTTGTGCTGTGGGCGTGGTTTAAACTGAAGTGGCGTCACACTCACGAACCGGATACTCCGTGTACCGTGTGGACTCCGCGGGCGCGCACAACCAAGTTCAACACAGAGAGCCTCGGTTTCGATGCAGATATGAAATCCCTCTATTAAAGAGGGCAGATAGGTCAGATTTTGAATCCTCCGAGCCCGATCTAATGTGCGCTAACAAAAGTTAGTAACTGCACGTTCCCTGTAAACTCAGTCACTTTTTGGTAGCTTTAGGGCGGCGTTTGCCCTAGACTTTTTGCTGATCTCGTTTTGACGACACAACTACCTGCGGCGATGCATGCACCGTTCGGAAGACGCGGACATTTTAAGATGAAGGCATCACTCATATTGAGTCATTTTTCGTTTTACACAGTAATGGCAACGGTCCAAACCGTTGCAGTTAGAATAAAATAAGTCAAACTAATTGAGTTTTGCGTCATATCAGAAAGCATATTAAATTTACCCTACACCTTATAAAGAACATTGGATGAGGGATACACTGGACAATTTTTGTTTTGTGCCAAACAGAAAATTAAAATGAATACTTTGATAGGCTTTACTACCATCCTCTTAAAATCATTTCAAGAGACAGAAACAGTAAAATAGAAATTTGAAAATATGTCCGTATAAGATTTAGTATTGGATTCAGTGTAGACAGATGGTATTCTCACAGGATATTACCATACTAGTAGTAATATACTTTTCCTGGCTGGGTGTTCATTGCAATTAGAATTACATCAGCCTGTTTCAATTAGTGTCAATATGAGCAGCCCACGTTTTCTGTGGAATGAAATTCTCTCTATCGGGATGAAAATGCAATCCTTCTCATTAAAACTGGGGTCGAAATTCTGTGGAGGATGAGGCAGAGGACCTTGAGGCTCGATGGTGTAGTTTTCTGGATGTGACTGTTCAGTTACAACGTATTAGTTCTTGGAGTTGGTTTGTTCAAGGGGGTTCTTAATGACGCTCAAAATGTGAATCAATGTACTTCTGTGCGATCATGTCTGATCATAAATCAGACTTAGATTAAGCTATCAAAGGACTATAAATTGAAGGAAACATGGAAAATAGGTAAAATTACGGATCATGCTCCAACAAGGGCTTGAAAATAAAGGTGGAATGTTGTCAAAGGTACAATCAAGGTAACGTGGATGACATGGAGCGGCAAAATGAAAACTAATGGTAGAGGGCGCTAGATTAAATTACTGTGGTTTAGCAGCCCGAGAGCGGAGCTAGGGCAGAACAATCCTACCAAAGCCGGTTAAGTGTTTGAGGGATACCAATGGCAGTGTCACGTGATTTCCTAGTGATAATAATTATCTTGCACTACCACTACACCTTAATAGAAGCCTGAATGTCCTGAAATTAATGAAACGACGTTGCTTTTTGCTTTGAAGGTAATTTCAGCGAAAAGTCTGAAAGTTATTATACCTTTAAAGACGATAATCGCTGGTCCTGGTGGCAGTTCATTGCGGTTTTGTCCAAAGAGATAGGTCTTAAATTACTCGGCACAGACTGAAGTTAAACTTTTATCTTGGAAAATTTAGAAGTTTTTTGTCACAGATACCCTCATAGCCAAATCAGATCGGTTGATTAACACTGCACCTTGCATCATATTCAACGTTAGCCAGGTGTGTAAATTTCTTCACAGTTTATTAAAAAAAACCAAATTGAATACGGGAGACCGCGAGAAATGATATTCTCTACATAACAGTATACTTCCAGTTCAGATCCTGGTTGTTTTGGCCGATTGACAAAGTAAATGTTGCAATGTACACAATGAATGAAGAGAAACCGTCACAGGTGACTGCGTGCCCCGCGACTCACCTGGAGGTGTGCGTTGCTGTCGCTCACCGACCGCAGTGTCGCACACAGTCTGTGGTCGCATGCTGCACGATTCTTACAGAGAAGGGGAGCTGGGTTCTCGAGGTGACTGTTTTTTTTTGGCAATATTTCTGTGGTGATGGGTACAGTGAAATCCTTTGGAGTGCTGTTCAACCCATGCAGGAGTCTCTGCTGAGTTCTAATGCTCAGCTTGGAACAGTCCTTGGTATGACCCATAGTTTAGGTAGGTAGGCCTGTTCTTTCTTCGAACCACAAGTTTTCACCAACGTGAGGAAAACTGGTATGCATACCACTTTCACTGCAAATTAAATGCACTCATTCTCTTTATATTATTTCTTCAAAATGAAATAAAAGCGACGTCGAAGTCTCTTTGAGACCTCGGTGCAACAGTAGTAAAACCCTTTTTGGATTTTTGAACATTTAAATGAAGGTAAGACTGAAAGAACCCCATCTGACATTCGGAATAAAAGTACACAGTACCTAAGACAACGTTTTGATTATTTCCAAGGCTGAATCTACCGGCTGCATTTCTCTCTCTCTCTCTCTCTCTTTTAGCAACCTTCTTGGTTGGCACAAAGAGAATACCATCAGGCTGGGGCCTATATGCAGATTCAGAATAATCAGTATCAGCATGACTCACAGATGAAGATTCTCCCGTGCGTCTTTTTCAATTCCTTGAGGTGGACATGCCTAGTGCAGAAGGCTCCTGGGCCTTGTTACGTTGACAAGAATTTTCACTAACTCAAAGAGTTGATTGAACCAGCCTCCATAGTGCCTCTACTGTTTGATCCCCTTTATACCCATTGCACTTTTTATAGTTAATGCAAATTTTCTTGCGATCAGACACTAGGCCTAACTTCTTGAATTTGTCCCTCATTTGCAAGACTGTGAACGGGAAGGCTGCCCTGTCCTCGTACAATTCCTAGATCTCTTTTAGATTTTCCTCATATATTTTAGCATTCTTGGTGTTTTTCGTGTTCATCGTGAATATTAGCCTTTGCCTGTAGTACTCACTATTACAGATGACACTGACGAAATCATTTGTCTGGCGTCCTGTCTGTTGTGATTTGCGACGTTTTTTTTTTGTTTGGCCACTCATGGGTTCTGCTTCGCTCACTTGAAGCACCGCTGTCATCGTTGTACTCAATGTCCGTTGACCTCGATATCTGACTTCATTTTCTAATGCCTGAGAGTTTAATCTTTGAGAATCGTCCAGTAGGTCATTCATGTCTTTGCGAGTTGCCATTTTGTTCCAACGTGGAATTTCACATAGTAAGTCCTGAGGTGTAAGTCTCTTTCTTTAAGTTTGATTAATCGGTGTTAACAAATAAAAGTCACTCGACTATCTTCACCTACATAAATGACGCCACAGATGGCCTCGATTGGCCCTTTTCTGTACAGTAATTATAAGTGAAGCAACGTTTGTCTTGCTGCAGTAATTCCGTCCGGCCTTAATTTTTGGAAATTGTTTATTTACTTTAAGAGGTGTGTATGACTTGACGAGGAGCTACAGCGCTTCCTTCCTGTCGTTGGGGGTTATGAGTGTCTTATCCCAGCCATGCGTTTTAATTTAGTTTTTTTTTTCTACGTTGCTGGGACTGCTCTTCAGAAGAGGCCGCATCATTTCTTGGGTTTCATCGCCCAAGTTTCTTTCTAAGGGCATTTAAATACTTCTGTGGTTGTCCTCTAGCCTCCCAGTGGACGCTGAACCGGGAGCGCTGGGTGTGGATACACTGTAGTTGGTACATGTAGTAGAATGAGCTGCACTGGGTCTAGATTAGTTTATGATAGAGCGGAGTTTACGTAGCAAACCTGGGCCGTGAGCTAGTGGTCTTTACTGTTGGATTGCTTGTGGTCTGTAAGCACAGTGGGGTGACGGCTGGAAGGTAATCCTGTAAGCATCGTGCTAGCTGGCTTTGGGGTTCACTTAATGTGCTCAGATAGCTGTGAGGGTAATTACCCTTTCGTTAAATTGACCCTGACTTGCATGACAATGTGTTATTCGCGTGAGGGCAATCACAACTGGTTAGTAGTGAGGTATCCCTTGGGTTATAGATAGATATATTTAAATTTAAATTTCATTTATTTAATATCATTTGTATCCAACATAGTTATTGAAATACATTGAAATTCGTTGTGGTTTTGCGAGCGTTCAAAACTTGATAATCGAAATATATGTACAGAAAAATGATAAACGACATTACAAAAATTCACACCAGAATTACAACAAATAATTGCAGACAACATATCAGGTAAAATAACGATTGATTAAATAAAATGGGATTAAGATAACAATAAAATCTGATGAATCACTGATTAGGACTTTGATTGCACCTGTACATGTACATTCAATTAATAAGAGAACTGCACTTGAATAAAATCTGTTCAAGGTTTGAGTCGAATCTGCGCGAATTGATCTGCAACGTTTATCTGATCTCATCCGCTGAAATAAGTCATTTGCAGGATGGAATCATCTGAGACAATTGACATGCACTTCTTTAAGACCCTTGCCTCATAAATGTCTTTCATTGCAGGTAGTTTACAGCCAATTATAGAGCTAGCAGTTTTAACAACCCGATTGAGGCGTTTCCGGTCTTCCACCGTGGTGTTCCCGTACCAGACAGCGATTGAGAATGTCAGGACACTCTCAACCACTGCCCAATAGAACTTCACTTACCAGCAGACCTTGGCTGACTCGGAAACTCCTCACTCTTCTGAGACAAAACAGACGTTGTTGGGCTTTTCTTACCAAGAAATCAACATGGGTAGTCCATTTCAGATCGTTAGCTATATATACGCCTAAAAATCTAAAGGAGTCATCCCTTTCTACCTCAGATCCATAGATACACAGTGGTTGAATGTTACTGGGATTTCTTCTAAAGTCAGTAACGATCTCCTTGGTCTTTTCAAAATTCATCTATGGTTGACTTCATCACGGTAAGACGATTCGTAATCTAAAGTGCAACCACCAAGTGTCGTATCATCTGCGTATTTCACCATAACATTGTTATCAGAGTGAGTAGCGCAATCATGGGTGAACAGTGAGTACAGCATAGGTGAGAGAACGCATCCTTGTGGTATTCCCGTATTTAAGACGAGTGATTTAGAAAGATGACGTCCTATCCTTACCCTAGTGAGCGATCCAATAAAAAATCTAAAATCCACTGACAAATCGAGTGATTACAATTCCAATGTCTTAGCTTATCATACAGTTAAAAGGTGAGATACCGGTTGTATTAAAAGCCGAACTGTAATCCACAAATAAAAGTCTACAGTAGTTAGGAGTATTCTTGTCGAGGAACTGTTACACTTTAAATACAGACCAAGCTATTGCGTCATCAATTGATCTGTTTGCCTTATTTTGCAATAAGAGCATACGAAATGAGACAGCCTGTTGCTGTGCCATTAAGGGAAAGCTTGTGCACGCGCACTTTGGTAATGAGTGCCATGAACATGCCTCATTCACAAGCCATGTAATCCCTTCTCTGGAATACACAGACGTGTGTCTACCATATAAGAAGCCTTACCCCATTCACAGGGTCGTTGGTGGGTCACCCATTAATAAACACAGACCTGACGTGAGCAATCCCCCGACAAATGGTTGAATGGGCCTTAGCCAGGGACCGGCTTGTATATTTTTTTCCTGTTCAGGGAAGCCCCGACGTTTACGGTGACTAAACCAGAGTGTTTGGCACAGAAAGGTAGGATTAGATGGGAGGGGATTGCATTTGGCCGTTAATTTTTTTAATCGAGTCATTCGCAAAACCTGTCTCTCAAAAATCACCACCTCTCTGTCCAAGGCAGTGTATAGAATTTGCATATACTGCAATTTGTCAACATTTGACCGTTTCGTTGTTTATGATTTAGTTTGTCTATCATTACAAGGACCCTTTCATTTTTCCCCCATGAATCCGCAATGCTACGTCGAGGAGGCGCTTTACTCCAAGGTAAATTCACTCATTACTCCCAGCAGTTGAAAACTGCTCTTTTTAAAGGGAATGAGAACCCTTCATGTCTGTTTCCCACCCTAACCTCGCGGACTTTGCTTGTACTACGAACGCCCCATAATCCATAGATTTTACGCAAGATAAACTACAATACCTTCGATTTAAGGGTTGGAAATGCCGCGCTGTTTTTCTCGATCTTTCACAAACCAGTTAACTCAAACATGATACAAGTCAGTGCAATGTAAGTTGCAGTAAATATTATAAACCGTAATCAGCCAATCTTGTGGAATTACAAAAACCAATGGTGTCCACTACCTTTAACAGCAAAAGCCAACAAAAGCCAGAAAGGTATAGACAATCTCATAACAAAAACCTTCAAATAGTCCTTCCTGTGTGGTAAAAACGTGATTTTGAAGGCAGCTTCGTGTGCTTGAAATCACCATTCATCAGGGAAGATAACGTGTTGCACTGCTAATGTTGGAGGAATAATGTAATCCAGTGTCATTTTTCCCGCCGTGAACTATAGCTCTGAAGTGAAGTTCATATCCCTGTGTAAAATGGCCCCTTGGTTATCAGTTGGCAACTAGGCCTACAGGTTTCCAGTAAACTTGGTCAGCTTTACGGCAGCATTTTGTAGTAGGCCTAGGATTTCTCTGGTTTTGATGGCAGAAGTGTTTGCATAGACCTTAGCGCTGTCCAAAAACTCTTTTTTTTGGGGGGGGTCATCATTTACGGTGTCATTGTTCTTTTACACAACGGTCCTAACAGCTGTTGACTGAACTGAATAAAGCAAATAATTAGCGCTATGTACGTACGTCCAATGCAAAAGATGTTTTTATAAAGCGGAATCAACGATAAATCCAAACGTATACATTAGTAGTTATATAATTGTTGATCTGCTGAATTAGCTTGGCAGCCATTTTACCGTACCTTTGCCTACCAACGGTACGGTAAGCGAATGTGGTAAACAAATGCAAACCATACAATTTGATTCCTCTCCAGTATATATCAGGCGCTTTACTATTACCAACCATTCAAGTTGTTATATGAGTGTGAACAGTCCTTTCAAAATGAAGTAGAAGCCATCGTAAACGACCATTTAGCTGAATATTATACATTTCATTCTTAATACCCTTGCACAGGCCCAAAGTTGAATTTCTTTGAGAAATCAACATTCGGGTGATAGAGTATTATAAATTTGTGACAATAAACGTTAATAATAGGCTGGCAAAGTGCTTTTTGACAATGTAATTCTATAGTGGGTTTGACATCGAAC